GAGGGGTCAGGAAAGGCTCTTCTGTGAGAAGGTAACACTTGAGCTAATATGAAGAATGAGCAGGAAGTTATTAAGTAAAGGACTGGGTTTAGGAAAGAGCATATCAGAGGAAAGACAGAGAACAGAGCAAAGGCTATGACTGAAGAAGTCAAGAGAAATTGAATTGGTAAAATGGATCAGATTTGATCATGGATTGGGTTTGGGAGATGATGAGAGAGTATTAGGAATCAAGAAAGATTGCTAAATTTCTGACTTGTCCAACTCGATGACTAACTGAGCCATTTGCTATCATAGGGGATGCAGGCACAGAGGGAAAGATCAAGAGTTTGATCTTGGACAAGGTGACTTGAGGTACCTTTGAGATAACTATGTGGAGATGTCTAGGAGGCATTTGGGTACAAGAGGAGAGGTTTGGGTTAGATAAATTTGGAAGCCATTGGCCTGTATATGAGAGTTGAAGCCATGATAGTGTATGAAGAGCCTGTCGGGAGAGAGTTTAACATAAGAAGAGAAGGCAGCCGTTTAAGGAATGCCAACATTTAATAGCCCAGCAGAGAAGGGAGAAACAGCAGAAGAGACTGAGGAATATCCAGAGACATGGAAAGAAAACCAGAAGTAAATCATATCCCTGAAGCTAAGGGAAAATTATGTTTCAAGAAGGAGAAGGGAATAGCCATCACTGGTAGATGCTGCTCAGAGTCGAATGATTACAGGAGTCATGAAGCCATCAGGAGGCCTCTGGGAAACCAAGGGGAGCTGTTGTTAAGAAGTAATGGTGGCAGCAGTGGACTGGAGACTGAACGGTAGAGAGCCTGGAGAGAGTGAGCATAGAGCGAATATAGACAGATTAGTGGTGAAGTATCAGAGAGGGCAGTCCCTGGAGGGGACTGTGAGGTGGAGGGAGGGAGGAGTTTTGTTTTAGGTGGAAATACTTGAGGATATTTAAATGCTATCAGGAAGTCTCCAGTGCAGAGGGAGGGGTTGAGGCTACAAGAGAGGGGACCACCCATGACAAGGTTACTGAGGAGGCCAAGAGGATGGGATAAAAATTATGCTCAGATGAGGGGTTGGCCTTAGATGAACCTCTCGAATCTAACAGGAGTGAGGAAGAAGAGGATGAGGCAGGTGGAAGCTGACTTGTAGTTTTCGAAAGAGGAAGTCGAGCGGGTTTTCATCTGATGGCTTTCTGTGAGAGGCCATACTAATTTTAAAGTTTGTGATTGTATGATATGGTAATGATAATAATGACAAACATTTATGGGCTAATTTCTGTGTGTTGAGTTACATGTGGTAGTTAAGTATATGCTCTTAGATATATACGTCTCTAAGATATATAGTATCTATGTAACTATATATCTATATATATATCTATATATATAGATATCTATATATATATCTATATATATATAGATATATAGTATATGTCTTTAGATAAACTGCCTGGATTGGAATCCAGGACTTACCACTTCCTATGTGACCTTGAGCTGTGTGACCTGGGCTTCAATTTCTTATGTATAACAAATTATATGTAAGGTATAAGACCCCTTGTAGTATTGAATGAGAGAGAGTGTGTATGTGTGTGTGTGTATGTATATGTTCATATTTAATGCTCAGTGTGGACTGGCTGTATGGTCAGTGTGCCCTACATGTCAGCTGACGATAGTGGTGCTGGTGCTGGTCATTGCCCGCCAGCAGCGTCTAGAGCTGCCCTTGTCATACTCTTCTGATGATATGATGGGAGTATTTAGCGCTGCTTTACAGAGGAAGCAACCATATCAGAGAATAAGTGACTTACTTGAGGCCACACAGCCAAGTCGATAAAAGAGCCAGATTTCAAACTATACCTGCCCGGCTGCAAACCATGCTTGTACAAAGTTGTGAAAGCAGCTTATCTGGAATATTTCTCCTGCCGCTATCTCAGGGCTTCAGATTTCAGGGTTAACCTTATGTCAAACTGTGAAGTAGATGAAGTCAGTCTTCCACAGCTTCTGTCACCCCAGACGCTTGCCCTCTGCTCGCAGACCTGTTTCCTCAGCTCCCACCACTATCCTGCAGATCTACTCTGCCGTTACTGAAATCCTACTGTATTTTGGTAGTTTTTCCATCTTTATCTTTCATCCTGAGTTTATACTGCCCTTTAAAAAAGTTGTATCAAAGATTGTGTGGGTTCAGCTTGAAATGAGTGAACTGAGGGTGGAGGGCGTACACTAGCCTGTAGAGTTAGTTTGAGGGGCGTATCTTCACTTCTTCCTTGGAGGATTAGCTGAAGAATGAAGTGACGGAGGCCAGTTTGGTTTCCATACTTACTTTTAAAAACATCTACAGTTGCATTTATCATAATCATTGTATCAGATATCCTCCCTGAACCCACTTCTGCCCATGAGGTGGCTTGTTCCTGTTCATTGCCTGTTCCACGATCAGATAACCTCCACTTCCTGCCTCTTAGCACCAGAGGTTCTTTCAACTTTCCTTTTTTAAACTTAAAGAATTTCCCTAATGTTATTTAGAGACTTTTCCTAATGTTATCAAGTGCTTTGTGTTGTACTGCAGGTGGCTTATTTTATGAAACATTTTATCCTGTAAATTTAACTCCTAAGAGCATCATCAGACTATATGTGAAGAACACAAAGTTCTATAGAAGGAAGGTGTTATGTACATTTATTTTGTAAAAAAATTGTAGTCGTAAGGGTATGTTATTGTGTTACTTTTTTGGGAGAACTGAGATAATATCACTTCCAAATAAAACAGTTTGAGATACTGCCATGAACTTTATGTATTTTTTTCATAGTTAGCATACCTTCTTTGTTGGAGCCCCCTGACTTATTTTAATCTATTATTTCTATATTGTTTTGTAGTCCCTGGGGGGCAGGCATTCTTTTCAGAAGAGATAACAGTTGATTTTTGACTTGCCAGGAGTTAGCTCTGGTAAATTACTGTTTTCCTTTTTTTTTCTTAAGTTTAATAGGAATTGGGCTATAATTTATAAACCAAAGATCTCACCTGTTTAAAGTAAAAAGTTCAATTACTTCTAGTAAATTTACAGTTGTACAACCCTCCTGACAGTCCAGTTTTAGAAGTTCTTTATCGCCCTAGAAAGTTCATTGAACCTATTTGCAACAATCCCTATTCCCTCCCCTCTAGCCCCATGTAGCTGCTGATTTTTTCTATAATTTGCCTTTCCTGGACATTCCACATAAAGGGAACAATACAGTATGTAATCTTTTGCATCTGGCCTCTTTGACTTAGCAAAATGTTTTTGAGAGGCTTGTCCATGTTGTAACATGGGTTGGTAACTTGTTGCTTTTTATTTCTGAATAGTATTTCGTTGTATGGCTATACCACATTTTGTGTATCCATTCACCAGTTGATGGATATTTATATTATTTCCATTTGAAGGTATGATAAACATAAACATATAAACATTCATGGTTTTTGTGTGTGCATTGGGTAGATTCGTAGAGATGGAATTTCCAGGTTGTATAGTAAGTTTATGTTAAACTTTTTAAGAAACTGAAGCTATTTTGCAAAGTGGCTGTGCCGTTTTACATTTCTACCAGCAGTGAATGAGGAGGATTCCAGTTTCTCTGCATCCTTGTCAGCACTTGATTTTGTTTTGATTATAGCCATTCCAGTGGATATGTAATGGTATCTTACTGTGGTTTTAATATGCAATTTCCTAGCGAGTAATTATGTTGAGCATCTTTCCAGTGCTTATTATTAGCTTTTGTTGAAACATTCAGATATTTTATCCACTTTTAATATTAGGTTGTTTGTCTTTTTATTATTGAGTTGTAGTAGTTCTTTATAATTCTGACTACAAGTTCTTTGTCAGATATGTGGTTTACAAATATTTTCCCACTCTGTACCTTGGTTTTTTTATTTTCTTAAGTCTTTTGAAGGATAAAAGTTTTTAAAATTTTTAATGAAGTCCACTTTTCTTTTACCATTTATGGTCCTGATCATATATCTAAGACCTCTTTGATTAATCCAAATCTACAAAGATTTTCTCCTATGTTTATGTCTATAAGTTTTATAGTTTTAGCTTTTACATTTAGGTCCACATTACATTATGAGTTGATTTTTGTGCATACTGTGAGATAAGGGTCTGAGTTAATTTGTTTGCATATTAACTTGAATTGTTCCAACACCATTTGTTGAAAAGACTATTTTTACCCCCTCATTAATTGTCTTGTACCTTTGTCGAAAAGCATTTGGCCATAAATATAAGGGTTTATTTCTGAACTCTCAATCCTGTGCTGTTTATCTGGTGCTCTGTCCTGGGCTAGTATCACACTGTCTTGATGGCTATAACTAATTTAGAACAAATTTTGAAATCAGATTCTGTAAATTCTCCAAACTTGTTCTTCTTTTTCAATATTCCTTTAGTTCTTTGCCTTTTTGTGTGCTTTAGAGTTAGTCAGTATCTACAGAAAGCCTGCTGTGATTTTGATTGGGACTCTGCAGCTATAGATCATTTTGGAGAGGACTGGCATCTTAACAGTATTGAATCTTCTAACCCACGCACGTTGCATGACCGCCCATTTATTTAGTCTTATTTTGTTTCTTTCAGCAGCATTTTATAGTTTTTAGATATACATCCTGCACGTACTTGATTGGATTTATTTATTAGCGTTTAATTTTACACTGTGCTATTGTGTAATGATGCTTTAACATATTTTCAGTTTATTTCTCATCCCTCATCACCATTCAGGCTTTGACCCTGTCAGTTGAATTCTCCCAGTTTGTTTTTGAATCTGGCAGATACCACATAGTGTGGTACAATATAGAGTAAGTAGCCTCTAATATTTTTCATGTACAGTTTCTGAAGGGTAAAAGCATGAACAGTTTTTATCATTTTGACTCAGTGAACAGTCAGTAGTTGTTTAGTAAGACTGCCATGTCTGTTTATGTTACTGATTATATAAAACACACGAACCTTTTGAAGGGATTTGGTCTGTCAGGAAAGGGTGATCACATAGTCTCCTGTCTTTCCTCTGTAGGTGTTGCAGCTTCCCTGGAAGTCTCAGAGAGCCCTGGGAGTGTCCAGGTAGCCCGGGGTCAGACGGCGGTCCTGCCCTGTACTTTCACTACCAGTGCTGCCCTCATTAACCTCAATGTCATTTGGATGGTCATTCCTCTCTCCAACGCGAATCAGCCTGAACAGGTACTTCTGTTGCGTCCTGTGCTACCTCTGAAATATTCATCTTTTCCTAAATGGGGGATGGGTGGGTATAGATTTGATTTCTAGAATAAGTGATGATTTCAGTGTGCCTGTGTTGTTTTAAGTGTTACTCCTGCATGGTTAGTCAACTGTCACAAGAGCTGTCCTCTTTGTAAAATACTTAGACAAAAATTAACAGATGTCAAGGGGATCCTCCTGAAAATTCTATGTAGGAACCTAGAATTTCCTCAAAAGACATTGCTAACGGGAAATACCAAGACCGAAGAAGCAAAGTATATTTTGACAGGAAGAAACTAGCACTAACAGGTGGATGAGAGAGTATTTTTTTAAAGATAGTGGTAATATTAAGGAAATAACATTAGATAGTAGTACTTGATTTATTTGGTTAATTGCACAAGTATTTTAAAATAAATAAAAGCCAGGCATACTAGCCATTCTCCAAGTCTCAAATAAATTAGGGTGGGTATGCGAAAATAGAAGTTACTAGCTAAGAAGCTGTATCGATTATCGGTAAAAGCCCCATAACATGCGATACCCACTGCGGAAAATAATGCTCAGAAAAATAGTGAATTGTGACCATGACTATACCTTCATTCCCAAAGTTAACTTTTTTCTATTATGAAGCTTTTCTGCTTCAATAAGCTTTTTACTACCTAAAAATATTTGGCCAGCTAAGTTTTCTGATACAAAATTTAAATAGGTATATTTAACAATAACTTGTATTTCTTTAACCCATGGAACTTTCACAATTAGACTGAGCCTTTGAGATCATTTTATTCAGCTTCATCAATTTAGGACTCAGTGATAGAGGCAACGAAAGACTTGACCACAGATTATTTACAGATAGAGCTTGGATAGAACCAGGTTCCTCCCTCTCTGCCCAAAGAGCTTTTTGCAACACCACCCTGAGTCCTCTCCCATGGAAAGTTTAGTTTGATAGAGAAACTGACGTAAGAAAAGCAGTCATGGCCTCGTAGCCCTACTTCCCTAGTATGACATTCGTTTATACTCAGTCTGTAACTGTGACCTGTCATTTTGTGACCTAGTAAGCGTGAGAACGGCAGTGCTAATTTTTTTACCTTTATTTTGGAATTAATTTTTTGAATTGGTAAAAATATTTATGGACTGATAGTAAGGTAGCCTAAAATGCACTTTCTGTACTGATGAGTTAGGTAGGGATTCGACGCTATTTCAGTTTGGTTTGTAAGAATTCAGAACGCCTGGGTATCTACCGATAGGTGCTGTAGTAAAAAGTTGGCGGCACCTCTAAGATTAGACATAAAATCTCCCGATGATTGTTACGTGTCTATAAGGAGATGCAGTGGCCTGTTTATTTATTTTGCTTTTCCCTTGCAGGTCATTTTGTATCAGGGCGGACAGATGTCTGACGGTGCCCCCCGGTTCCACGGTAGGGTGGGATTCACAGGCACCATGCCAGGCACCAATGTCTCTGTCTTCATCAACAACACTCAGCTGTCAGACACAGGCACCTACCAGTGCTTGGTTAACAACCTTCCAGACAGAGGGGGCAGGAACATTGGTGTCACTGGTCTCACAGTTCTAGGTGAGTGACGGGATGTGTTTGGGGACCTTGGCTTTGCCTGTGAGTTTACTTTCAAGCCGGTTCACTTCTGCCGGTTCCCCTACGCTCTCTGTCTGCCTGTGTCCTTTCCTCTTCTGTCTTCTTGCAGCCCGACCTGGCCTCTGCTTCTCCGCACTGCTTAGCCCTGGTCTCCCCACCCCTTACTCCATTACAGATGGCTCTCGAAAGTTTCTTCTTAAATGACTTTTCCTGAAGGTGGAGAAGGGTGGCATAAAAAACCAGCAAAAGTGGTCTCTCATTTTCCTTAAGCTTTTACAGGGTAGGACTTATTGTTGAGAGCGGATGAAATCAAAAATTACTGATTATGAGTAGGAAGCAGAGGTTTCAGCACACGTGAGAATAAATTACTATGACTTCATGTCTGTGTAACGCTCAGAAGGTCCACGGCAGTTCTAAGCTTTACACCTCTTGTCCTGGCAGATATATTAGTAATGCCTCCTCTTCCTCTCAGAAGTATCCTCATTGGAACGATAAATTATAGCATCAATTTGGTCTTAATACTGAGACCAAATAGACTTAGGGCCTTTTCCAGGATTATGTAGACCATGAACAGCAATCAAATTTAGGTCAAAATTGGGGTCTCTTTACTCATACCGATATTCTCTCTGTTCTACCATGCAGTTAGACTGTCTCACGCTAAATTAAATTCATCCTAAACATGTTTTATTTCTCAGTTCTGCTGCCTCTGAAATAAAGCACTGCCTCCTAAGTGGGTGCTTGTTGTGGGAATGGCTCAGTCCAGTTCGTGCGGGGAAACCAAGAACTACTTAGCGAAGCCGATGCTCTTGACTGTCCTCCCCCTACTCACGTCTCAGTCTCGGCCAGGAGTCCTCAGCGCACCCTCCCCTTTTCCAGTGTTGAGTCACCCGAGGATTCCAGGGCTGCGGCTTCTTGCCATTCCCTTCTTTGGGTGAGAGAATGCTGTAGCTTTGGTGCCTTGTTCTCCCAGTCTTCAAACAGAGTAAGAAAACTAAGCACAAGTGGGAAATTTTATTTGAGAACTATTATTCAAATATATTAAAGCTGTATAATCTTTACAACACTCTCAGTACTGAATACAGAGTACAGTTGGAATTTAACATTATTTTCATGCTTACATCTGTAATTTAGGTAACGAACTTTCCATATGATCCACGTTTGTTTATTTTTTAAAGGTAGAAAAAAACCTTTAATTTATCTTACTGTTCATGGTACCTTCCAATAATTATTTTGGGTTTCCTCTCAGAGCATCACAGTGGTAATGTTGGAGGCAGTGCATTGAGATTGGATTATCCCATCTCAGCAGTTAGGATTCCCTGAGATTTTTCACTCTTTCTCCCTATACCCTTTCATTGTTCTTTCTTCCCCTACCTACTTTCTTTCCTGGTTCCTCTGTGTACCGCATTCATTTTCTACTCATTCATTCATTTTTGCAAGGTTGAACACACTTACTGAAAACTCATTAGCATTGCAAGTACCTCATCACTTGGATTTAAACTCTATTGTGTATGTCACCCAGTGTGACAATCCAAGCCATGGACTTAGTTTATATTTTTATTTACTTGCTTTTTTACTATAAACTACCACCTTTTCCTTTAGTGTTTTTTAGGGGGGAGGTAATTTTTTGTGTAACATCCTTTGCATCCTTACCTGTCTTAATTTTTGTAAAATGTTCACTGCATTACTATCAAGTACTAGATATACTTGAACTTTACTCTAACTGCCCCCTCCATAAAACAGAAGTTAGTACAAAGTAGATACGTCTGTTTTTTGTTTGTAAAGTAACAAAGCATTTTGTTAACTTGGCCTTAGCTGAAAGTAGCTGGCAGGATAAGAAGGTGCTGTTCCTTGAAGTATCTTCTTTACAAGTGAGCTTTTTCATTAATTAAAAACCTTTAATTATGGTAAAATATAGCAAAATTTACCATCTTAGTCAATTTTTAAGTGTATGGTTCAGTAGTGTTTAGTATATTCACAGTGTTGTGCAACAAATCTCCAGCACTTTCAACTTGCAAAAATAAACCTCAATCCATTAAACTACAATTCTCCCTTCCCTCAGCTGCTGGAAACCACTATTCTACTTTCTTTTTCTATGAATTTGACTGCCCTATGTACCTCATATAAGTGGAATCATACAATATTTATCTCTTTATAACTGGCTTATTTCATTTAGCATTATGTCCTCAAGGTTCATCCTTGTAGCATGTGTCAGAATTTTCTTACTTATCAAGGCTAAATAATATTCCTTTGTATGTATATACCACATTTTATTTATCCATTTATCCATCTGTGGACGCTTGGGTTGTTTCCACCTTTAGGTGTTGTGAATAATGCTGCTGTGAACCTGTGTGAATTTAGTAATGCTTTTAAAAGCTGTATGTTGACACAAAGCATCATAAAGATTCTTCCAGTTCTTCTTTGGAGGAAGCAGAGAGAAACTGAAACCATAAAATACCTTGAAAATATAATCATAGCCTCTTTTACATATTTGCTCCCTGCCAGCTGCAGTCGTGGACCCTGCCCCTGTGGCCAAGCCCTGGGAAGAGTACGTGACTGTTCTCTGGCTTTGCTCATGATGTGGTCTCCTGGTTTGTGTTCTCAAAACAGTGTTGTCTGAAGTTCCAGTGTGCTGAATGTTGATGCCCTCTGTCATCAGTTGGCTCATAGTAAATGCATACTTTATTGCTTACTCTTCCTGCTGTAGTTCCCCCTTCTGCCCCACACTGCCAGATTCAAGGATCCCAGGATATCGGCAGCGACGTCATCCTGCTCTGTAGCTCAGAGGAAGGCATTCCTCGACCAACTTACCTTTGGGAGAAGCTAGACAATACCCTCAAACTACCTCCAACAGCCACTCAGGGTATGTATGGTGTTGCTTTGCCCATTTAATTAGTGATCATGGAAAATAATGATTCTTGGGCTCACAAAGTAATTAACTTGACTAGATTTTGAAAAATAACACACTGTGTTTGTAACTGCTGAAAAAGCTCCCTGGATTATTTTGTGTGTTCAGCTTGAAAGGGAATAAAAATATTTTCTTTCATCTCTCATTGCTGCCTTTATGAAATGTGTCTTATTCAGTGGTAACTATATATGGAAATTCTGTTCCTTTATAGTGAAGATTTAAAATAGCTAAGTGGTAGCTTCCTTGTATTGTTAACTGTAAGATAATCCTTGGAGTTTATAACTGAGAATCCCCTTCCTACTTGAGAAACACTGCCTAGTTTAGTGTGAGAAACATTAGCGTGGTCATGAGAGGGTTAATCATCCTGTTTTCAGCATCAAGTCTAATTAGAGGAGGAAGATGGAAAAGAGGACAGGAAAAGGCCTCAGATCATGGGAGACCCGGGAGCTGATCACACCAGACAGGTAAAGGTGGAGGAGGCATGAGAATCATCGTTAGTTTTCTGCATGTAAATCCAGCTACTTAAATTTGATATCAAAGGGAACACTGTGGAAAATTGAGGAAAATTTATGAAGTAGACTGAGGGGAAATTACAGAATTATGTATGCAATCTTCTGTTTCAAGAAAATAAAATGTATCAGTCTTATGTGTTGCATCATCTCTGATACAGAACATGTCTCTTATGGCATTTTCAGGACAGATTTACAAGTCTTAACTTAAAAAGGAGCTGGCAGTTAAGGGAGAGGTCCCAAACAGCCTTACTTATGCCTGATAAGTTTGAATCATATTGATGGTATATATCTGTCATGGAGAAGGAAAGTCCTAAGTTGTATAGTGATGTTAGACATATTAAAGAACCACCAGCCTCTTAAGAACCTGTAAGTTTCCTTTAAGAATCCTCATAGAAATTATTACTGAATCTTTCCATCACCTTTTAATCAACCTAGCCCAAAATTAATTATTTAAAAAAACCTTCCTTTTGACATAATAACTTAGGGGTTACTCTGATAATGACTGCTGCTATACTGTTGTTCCCTACTAATTGTTCATTGCTAAATGTTTTAGCCATACTGTGAGCTAAGCAGCTGTTTGTTTGTTTTTTTCCTGGTGGACTAACTTGCCAATCTTACCATTGTAAATGGCATGTTTAAAATAGCTCTTATCTTATAATCCTGAAAACTGTATTCAAAATCTAGATTTTCCAGTAGCTCTTTCTGTGTCAGTTCACCTCTTGCCTTGTTGTAAAATAAGGGGATTTAATGGTATCATCTCTGAGGTCCTCTGTATCAGCATTAAGATTCTATGATTTATATAACATTTCTTTGAAATATTGGACTGAGTTTGGAATTATAGATGAATTTTTAAAAGTGGTTATTTGTCTGTGAGTTGTGAAATATCTGTAGAAGGAGGCTTCCATACCTCTTTGTTTCTGAAAAAATATATTATCAGTCAGATTTCTTGGTATCTTCTTTGCGCCTTGAATATTCTTTGATACTTTAGGTGTAAAAGTGAACTTGAATGCCGAAGATGAAAACATTTGTCTTTTACAAATCACACTCTGGGTTGGTTATCACAGTTACTTTGGATAATTTCATTTATCATAATAATGCACATTAAATGAGTCAAATTTTTAACTTAAATTTACCTCTTGACATCGGCATTAATTAAGTAGATCTCAAAATAGCATATCCCAAAATAACTTAGAATTTTTTTCAGAAGATTTATGTTGCTAATGTGAATGCATTTGCTTAATATAAATTCGGGATGCACTGTCTGAGAAAGGAATAATTTATGCCAGGGAAAGGCACCCCAGAAGTCTGATTAGTGATGGGGCATAATATTTGGGGTTTAGAATTGTCCTTATAGAAGAGAGCTAACTTGAAGGAGCTTCTTCTGGCCAAATCTTGGACAATCTGAACATTAAAATAAATTTATAGTTCATTGAATAAAATTGGAATCCATGAATCCCTGATATACAAAAATAAACGAGGGAGAA